ATATCGCCACGAAAAAGAATTTGAAGGAATTAGTGAAAGTTGATAATATTAAAATAATGACTAATAATTTAAAATTTTTAGTAAAAATGCATTTATTAAAAAAAATAAAAACTAAAATTATTTTTATAAAATTCAAACATAGCCAAAGGCCTGTTTTTGTAATAAGTGGACCTAAGGCAATAAAATTCCCTGACCTAATAGTGCTTTCCCCCAGCATAGTCCTGGTTACGTTTATGATTTGTATCAAATTATTATAAAATAACTTTGACATTATATACCTGTATCAAGTAGCCAGGCTAAATACTGCCATATTTTCAAAATATTTATAATAAATTTTATTTATTAAATAATAAAATTAAAATAATACATTAAAAAATAAAAAGTACTAAAAGATTGGTGGTTAGAAATCAATGGGTTGTTTAGAAAATTACTTATAAATAATATAAGAGCCATCAAAATTCTATTGATATTTTTATTTCACTAAAATTTTATTGGCCTGAATTAATTTATGATTTTATTTATAAATAAAGAAATATTTACAAACTCTGTAGTTTATAAAGCCTGTTAAAATTTTCGGCGGCAGCGTGAGTTCATGTCTTAGAGATCTAGGACTAATTATCCACTCATATTAATTTTAAATTTGCAGATAAAAATCTATTTACAAAGAAATAAAATTTAAGAACCAACTATGTTTTTATAACTGGGTTCCCAAGAAAGCTCCATTATTTTAATGAAAGTCTCCATTTGCTTTTTTGCCGAAATAGATAAATTTAGCTTGCCAAGCTTCAACTTTAATTTATAAGTTTGTAGAGAAAAATGTTCATTTATGATAAAACAAATAAGGTGAAGATTTAGTATTATTAATTACGTGGTTTTTATTCGATATTTAATCGTTTGCAAGGGCATAAGCTAAGATTTATTTCAAGTGGGAGGCACGAAATTTTTTGCTTGCCTCTATTATTCTCTTTTCCCGCCCCAATTCTTTTCCTTTACTTTTGACCGGTTCACTCCTACGAGAATTTGATTATATTTTTACATTTGTTTTTTTTTAAATATGCAGTATCTTAATTTTGAGATATGCAATATTATGGGGTCACTTAGTATTTTTGAGGGCTTTAATAAGCCATTATTGAGAAAATGATTTCAATAATTAGTGCGTATTTAATATATTTTAGTGTACCAACCCGTTTTGTTCTTAAAATATGCATTTTATCCAAAAAAAATGACTGTGTAAATAGTGGTGTATAGATTGTAAATAAAATCTCTTGGAAAAAATCTTTAGATCCTGTTCCTTATTTAAACATTTTTATTTTTAAAAAATCCTATAATATAAGATTTATGGCCTCGAGGACCAGGCTATTATTTGCATGATTTCTCAGAATATGAGGAAAAAAGGTGAGACGCTTCTTTTTTAAGGTCACATGTACCTGAGTGTGGGGTGACATCTTCCAAAGGTTATCATTTGCGATAATGTTGGGGTAAAAGATGTCATTTATTATTCTTAGACATTTGTTGACAAACGTCTGTAGTTTATAGGTCTCTGTCTTCGTTATCTCCCTTATGTCACCCCCGTAAAGGAGAATTGGAATAATGGTGGGATTAAAGATTCGTAACCTAGTGTAAACCGATATCTCCCTGGATTTCCACATTTTGAAATATTTATAAAAAGCAACTCTTGCATTTTGAATTCTGATTTTAAGTTCATCTTTGTGGTTACCTCTATTATCCATGTTAACCCCAAGATATTTGGAGGAGAACACCTTAACCAACTTTCCCCTACCATCCAATTACCCAAAGGGAGTGCATGAGACGATGGCATAATCACGGTCTTATCATTTATATCCAATCCGATCTTTAAACTGAAGGAATTTAGTATCAATACCAAATTTTGGGCCTCCTACTAATATAATTATTTCAATTTGAAATTAGCATCCTTATTATGTAAGTTGGTAGATTAGCTGTATTCCTCCTTCATTAGTTCTCCTTGATACCTCTCTATCATTTAGTGGGGCCCATAAGCATATAGATAAACAACTAATCTACCAGATCAGTGGCGTAGCTAAAAATTTTCCTTAGTGGGGGTCCATACATATAGAAATCTGAAAGCTTAGCTCCTCAGACCCTTCTTTGACGGCCTTCGGCCCTTGTTTTTCTTATAATATAAAAGTCCTAGAATTGTGGATCATTTTAATTAGTGTTGCAGAATATTCTCAATGACTTTATAATAATATTATCCAATCGATTAATAGTAATAAAATATACTTCCACAAACATCAAAGAAAAATATAAATATTCATGTTTTTTGATATAAAGTCACTTTTGAATTTTTTCGTATATTCTAAAAAAAAATTTGCTGTGGGGTAGTCCAAACCCAACCCCCCCCCCCCCCCGCCGTAGCTATGCCACTGTACCAGACTCTTTTTTCTTGCTCTGAAAGAATGGATTTATTCTTATATAGTCGCACCTTCCCCTCACAATGAATAAAAAGCTTTCACTGAGTCTTTGATTAATGTATTATGCAATAAAATTTTTAGGTATACCCATAATTTCTCTTTGCTAACTTTAGCTCAAAATAAAAAAATGACCATAGATGCTTAACCTGGTTAGCGTTTAAAGATGTTGTTAAGTGATTGATATAATTCACTTTTGTTCTTCTTATTTTTTTTATTTGAGAATTTTATCAGAAAAAGACTATTAAAAAATTCAATCATTAAAATAATGGTCCTACATGATAAAAATTAAATGATGATATATTTTTTAAATGTCATTAAAGTCATAAAAAAACCATGATACATTTCTATAAAAATGCAATGATTATTTTATGTTAATCTCGTTAATTAATTTTAGTGTGGTTAAAAGGTTAATGGGGAATAAGGTCAAGTAAAAAAACGAATATTAATTATAACCTGAAATTGTAGAGGCCTTACTATATAAACTAAAATGGATATATCATATATTTTATGTAAAAAGATTAATAGATAATTTAATAAATTTGCTTATTTACCACTTTATATGGTTCTTCTAATAAGGATAGAAGATATAAGAAACTAACTTATAATTTAAATGGTTAAATATGTGAAAATTACATAACTTATAAAAACAAGTGTCACATATATATATATAATAGTGTCATATCATTAATATGAGATAAAATAAAAAATATATTAAAAAAAATTTTATACAGTTAAAATGACTAAACTTTAAAAAATTATCATCTATCATATTTGGCCACCAGAAGCTAAAATATATTATTAATTATGGCAATTAAGACATTTTACTTATCAGACAATTTTTTATGGGTCCTGTTAATACCAAAATGGCCATCAAGTGAAATTTTTTCAATATAATAATCACAACCACTGTGAACTGATTTAATAGTTCTTTTCTTCTACTAGTGTTCATAATAACTTCCCCATTGTGTGTATGGTGATATTATTTATCATTGCGCATAGTAAATTTGGGATTTTTTTGTATAATATGAAGTTTTTATTCTTCATAATGTAAAAAAGTTATATAAATTCAAATATTTAATTTATTATCTTCATTATCAATTGTCATTTCTGAAATAAATATTGATTCTAATTTGAATATTTTAATTTTATAGAAAATATATGTTTTTTGATTGACAAATTAGAAAAAATATGAAATTAAATTATAAAACATTTTTTAAAATATATCATTATTAAAGATACACTGGTAAACTTATTCAGGTATGTAATTACATTATAATAAAAGAAGGATTATTAAATTTACTCACAGGCCAAAAAGAGTGATTTTAAAACATGAGTGATTCTAGAACGTTACAAGTCTAAATACAATATTAAATTATTTATTTATGATATTACCCAAATATAAATATCATACAGATAATGGGCTAGGCCTGATTGTAAAATTTGAAAATGCTGAGTTTTGCAGATATTTGATTTATATGAATGAAGACTTATTTAATAATAAATTAATTATAATTTATTAATATAGATTTATTTTACTGTATGTTGGCAGTAACATATTAGCAGCAATAATTCACACACAAAATGTAAGCTAAATTGATCTTATATTAATCTGTCACAAATTCTAATGGTAAAAGAAAGGTTAATTGCACATTTAAAAAATCTACAGAATCAACCACATACAAAAGCTTGAAAAAGATTTTTCACAAATTTCTTTAATTCAAATGATGATTTAATTAATATTTTTGAATCTAGAAAAATAATTTTTAGAAAAAAATTAAGAAATAAAAATTACAAAAATAAAATAGGAGTAAAATATCTATATAATATATCTACTAAATAAAAATCATCAAATAAAATAATTAAAAATTAAAAGAAAATTAATTCCAGGGAATTATTTTCTAAGAATTATTATTGAGGATTTTTTTTTCCGGATAATTATTCCGCTTACCAACATTTTTAATACTTGTGTGAATTAAAAAAAAAATATTTATTGAATATAACACACCTTTGCCATATAGCGCTCCTGTGGAGCGCTTATCCAGTAAAGCTAAACATGTATTTACTGAAAGACGTGGATGTTTGAATGATAATATCTTAGAAAAAATTTTTATTATTAACGGCTAATTTTAATTATAAATAAATATATTCCATTTGTTATATTATATTTTATTATTCAATTACAATAAAATTATGACATATTTAATTTATTTTTATATTAGTTAATTTTGCATCAATCAAATCACTATCTTTTTTTTAAAAAAAGATTATATATATATATATATAATATTAAATTTTCTAACACTTAAAATATTGATATTTAAATGTAGAAATTGATATTCAAATTAAAAAATAAGTAAGAAAAATGCTAGGTCGGTCATTGATGTAAAATATAAAGTTTAGATTAACTTATGTTACTTGAATACATATAAAATAATAGTTAATTTCTGATCAAAAAAAAATATAGTAAAATATTTGAATAATCTAACATCTTATATATTAAAATTTTGAAAAGGAATACTAATTTAAACTCCATATTTTACCTAGTCTTGGGCAGAGGTTTCTATCCTGTTTTCTTGGATCGATAATATTGATTTATCATGATGATATCAGCCAAATATTTATAAATACGATATTTTTTTTATTTGGCTTATAACATTTTATCTGATTTGACTTTCGTAAATTCTTAATATATTTTTAAAGGTAAATATTGTAATTTATTATATTGAGACATGATTTGAATGTATCAGTAGATCATTATTTACAGTATACTAAGCTATTATTTAAGAAAGAAATATAAAGAAAAGAAATGATCATTAATGTATTTAATTATAATGTAATGAAAACCTTTTATGTAGCCCTCTAACCTTAGTGTATGTACAATATGGTGTCATTGAAATTTCAGTAGGTTACTTAATGGGTGAGAGCTTTGAATTCTGGTTATAAGTATATTTTACATATTTAAACAAAAAATCCTATTCTGAATAAATATTTATTTTTAAAAAAATTGATTTTATTAACTAGTTGGGATTTCATTTGTTTCTTCTAGTTTTCCTCTAACCCAAACATTGATCCAATCATTAATGAAGGTCAATAAATAGAATACCATGAAATTTCAGATTTTCACTTTATTTTAATAATTATTTCTACCAATGGGTCTTGAGACACCCTAGGTAAAGATTAAGAAAATTTTGAAATTAACCCAAATTCCCTTATTCCAAAGCAACTACTATATTAGTTTCATCTAATCTCAATCAGATTCCCCCCCCCCCCAATGTTTTTTTTTAAATATAGTTTTTATATTTGTTATCCTTTAAATTGTTTACATGTTTTTTTGCATTTTTTAACCCTTTCGTGCCTGGAATATTTTCCACGAACAAAAAATACTTTTACTTTTATATAATAAAATAATGATTTTGACAGGTTGATGATAAAATATAAAATAATAAATATTGTTTTATAAATTAATATCTCTAAATACCAACAATTTTCTTTAAATATAAAAATTAATTGATTCAAAATTTTGATGACAAATGATCTCGCTTGGCGCGAAAGGGTTAATATAGTTTTATATATTGTTATTTATAATTTAATTTTTAAAATTTAATAAATATATATATTTTTTAAAATAAATAAATAAATCTCATATTTTATCACCTACACTAGAGGTTGTCACATATTGCCCCCTCCCTCCCATACTGATAGACCACATTTTATATCTAGAATGAAAGCCTAAATATCAGCCCATACTTTATCTGATGTTAGTTTAAGTTAAATTTATCCTACTTATTTTTTTTTTTGTAAGATAATCAAAATTTATTGATTGCCATAAATAAGCAATTAATTTTATTCATATTTTTAAAAATGTTTCACCTAAATTAAATTCTTATATTTAAGGCAAATCTCATTTTAATTTTGATATCCTTTAAAAAAAATAGGCTTTATAAGGTTTCCAGAGAATTCAGTTTTAGCTTATACCACCAGGTAGTATCTCACAAATTTTCATTGAAAATAATGTTTTGATAAAATAGAATGATAGATATTTATAATTTTCTATTCAAAGCAATTAATAATTTTATTTCATTTATCTTCATAAAAGTGTGTTGAATTATATTTTAATTAAAAATTTTGGGCCTGGGCCAAAATATAAAAAATTTCAGCTTTGATTATTGAAAATGTTTCACCTAAGTTAATAATCTTGTATTTGAGGCAAATCTCTTTTTAATTTTGATATCCTTAAAAAAATAGGCTTATAAGATTTCCAGAGAATTCAGTTTTACCTTATAACACTAGGTAGAATCTTGCAAATTTTCATTGAAAATAATGTTTTGGCAAAATAGAATGATAGATATCTAAAATTTTCTATTCAAAGCAATCAATAATTTATTTCATTTATCCTCATAAAAGTGTGTTTGAATTATATTTTAATTAAAAATTTTGGGCATGGGCCAAAATATAAAAAATTTCAGCTTTGATTATTGAAAATGTTTCACCTAAATTAAATTCTTGTATTTGAGGCAAATCTCTTTTTAATTTTGATATCCTTCAAAAAAAATAGGCTTATAAGATTTCTAGAGAATCAGTTTTAGCTTATATACCAAATGTTTTGGCAAAATAGAATGATAGATATCTTGAATTTTCTATTCAAATCAATTAATAATTTTATCATTTATCCTCATAAAAGTGTGTTTGAATTATATTTTAATTAAAAATTTTGGGCCTGGGCCAAAAAATAAAAAATTTCAGATTTGCCTTGGGCCAAAAAAAACTGAATAAATAATCATAATTAAAATCATAAAGCCTGACCCAAATTTTAAAATATTATTATAAGTCTGAAAATATCTTGGCCTGTGGTACGATTTTAAATTCATACCATTTTTTGGCCCATTTCTCAGTTTTTGAACTGACTTGCAGATCTCAAATTTGGCAGGTAGGGAAATGTTATCATAATTTTAATAATATAAGAAGAGCCTGGTGGTAAAATGTATGTAAGGAGTTATTATAATTTTGATTCCATTTTTTATACTAATTTTAGTTAATTAGGTTGGTAGGTAATATTGTCATTGGCCGCACATTATTTTTTCTTCTTCATGCCACAGAATTTTAAAAAGTAATGCATCAGACAAATACTCTTAATTTATAGTTTTACAATATCCTTTTACCATTCAGTAATTTTGTGGAGTTTATAGAACCCAATTATAATAAAGTTAATACTTGGAAATAAAAATTTATTGTGATCTCAAATTTATAGTAACTTAATTAAATTTATCATAAAATTAGTGTTGTGGCATAATTTGTGCCTATTTCAAAAATGCCAATATTTTATCCATCAAAATATTACACAAGCCTAAAGATCTAGATTATAGATGACACAGTGCTTTGCACATTTAATTAGCAAACTTAAGGCTTAATTATTGTTTTTATGGCTAAAATATTGAATTGAGCGTTTTTTAAATGACTTAAATTGAGCTGTTTAGTTTTTAAAACATAAGACAATTGTAACAGAATTTGGCCTATCAAACCCCAAAAGAGTATTTACATAAGTTTTTTTAAACCATATTTATTATAAAGGAATTTTTGAAGAATATACATTAACATAATGAAATGTGTTGGTTTTAATATGTGATTTTTTTTAGAAAATTTGGTTATGGTATGTTGCCATATTTGCTTTAAAGTCATTTCCTTTCAATAAAGATTCAAGAAAAATATTGTTCCACCCCCATGCTTTAGCTCTAGAAAACTTCCTCCCTCTTCCCTTCCAGATTTTTATTAGATCTACTTATATGACCCCAGTCCGTATCTGTAGTTCATCAAGTTCAGGTTACTTATTTCTTATTACTCATAAGCCTCCAATTCTATCTATATCTGCCCTAGAAACTATTTCAAAGCTCACATCTCTCCTATAACAATTTTAATTCACATTTTCTGCACCTTTATGATTGTATCTAATTAGTTTTTGCTTGTGGAATTTAAGCTATTTATCATTTTCTGTGTTCAATTTCGCCAATAATAAACCCTCATTTTATTCTTTGAATACTAACACTCTACACAGCCAAATTGATCTCTAACAAAAAAAAAATGAGACCTTTTGGTGATATTAGTATTTCTGCTCTGAAACCTTTGGTGATATCAGTATTGCTGCTCGAATTTTAACTTATCATGATGAGAAGGAAAGTTACATAAAATAATTTGAATACTTTGGAACAAAAAAAGCGTCCATTGACTTCTCATTATTTTCATTCCCATAGTTCCTCTCTTATTCCCTTTACTTGGGATGAGGTGAAGTCCAAAGGGGCGATAAGTGGTTTAGACAATTTTCAGACCAGGTTCTATCCGTTCCGCGTTGATGCTGATTTTATTGAACCCTACGCTAAAATCTTTTACTGAATTATAGTAATAATATCCTCGTAAGAGCGAGTGCCTCTTATACGTCCTATTATTTTTGATGCACGCCTGTCATTATTGACCAAGCTAGACGGTGCTATTAGATTCATAGCTGTTGTGTTTCAACTAATTAGTTGCCAGGATCATGGGAAACAAAATTCGTTCAAATGCGTATTCCCCCTCCCTCTTGATTAGGGTTGGTTATCGAGTGACCTCCACTCATTTTATAAATAATGAGACTAGTAAAATTATCTTAGACAAGTATCCATAGGAATACGTTCCTGTTTTCTTTCTTAACACTTTCCTAAACATGTTAATTTTCAGAACTCTCTCGCTATGAATTTTTCTCGTTACTAAAATATGGAAAGTTTACTTTAATTTCCCAAGAAGAAATCTAGCAAACCTATTCTTTAGGTCCTTGGTTCCTTACTTTAGAAAAACATCATGACTTGATCAAAAATTTAAAGATTAATTTAGATTTATGGTATCTTGAGTCCTTTACCCAACGTCATTTTAATTTTTGAACATGTTGATTTTGAGACCCATAGAATTGGCCATGCCTTAAATAGGGAAAAAGAATTGAGATATCCTCCCTCAATAAATAGTATATATTATCTCTCACTTTATTTTTCCTATCGCTTCTTCAGCTACTTTTAGGCAACTTGATTAAATTCTCTTTTTAGTTCCCTGAACAATCTTCCTCACCTTGCACGATCTTTAAATCTTTTCCAAATTTCTTCGAAATTCAATTTAAACATTTCATCCAATATCTCTTATTAACCTTAATATTTTATAGATTTTAATTGTTTCCTCGTTTCTTTGCCCGTTAAGTAAAGGAGTTATCCATTTCTCCATTAGGCCAAACAATCTTGGCTCACTTTAAGTTCTCTAAGTTTCCCATCATCCCCATTTTCAGCTATTTAATAGCTTCCTTAGTCCTATGTCATAATGTGTTTTTTTTAAACTAAGTTTCCACCTGATAGATATAACAGCTTCATTTACTTAGAAACTCATAAAAAAATGCTAAAAAGCCACGAATGGTTAGCAGTTTCCTAGTAATAAGAAGATGGCCATGGAATAGGTTACCTTATTTTTTCTGTTAATGCTACACGTAGTAGACAGGCAAACTGATTTGGTAGGCAGGCACTGTTTTTTCGGCCATAAAAAATCTTCTATTACTTTTTACCCTGCAACACTCATAATGGGTTGATTGGCGAATTTTGATTTCTTCGATTTTTCCGATAGGTTGGAGCTCTAAGATCCTTTAAATGAGGGTGGCAAACGTCCTGATGGCACTTTAACATCTTGACGCGGCGATATAAGAGTTTCCTCATTTCCTAATTGTAATGTAGCTCCAAGTGGTCAAAAGGTTTAATAGATATGGGTCCCTATTAAATTCGTTTGTCTTTATCTCTATCTCCCTTAAACATTATATGTTCTAGGTAATCTCGCTGCCCAATCGCTAATATTTTAAAATTAATTGAGAATAGAAGAGAAGAGATTTCTTTATTTCATTCTATCTTTTTTCTTTCTTTCTTTCTTTCTTTCTTTCTTTCTTTCTTTCTTTCTTTCTTTCTTTCTTTCTTTCTTTCTTTTTCTCTTTAAGGGGAGGGGGTAGACTAAATCTCAATAAATTTGTGATTCTAGAAAAAATTTACAAGTGTTTCTCACGACTTCTCCTTCCTTAGTGTTGTCGGCTGGAAAATGGCTCTAACCCAATATATTAGCAAAAAATATCCTGCAAACCCTGGAGATTTCTTTATTGGCTAAAAATCTTAATTTAAAATTGGCCAAATCGAGCCATTTAAATAACACTATTTTTTCCATTTAATACAGATTGCGAATAATCATCTTTGTTTGCTCATATTTATTTTTCTTTTAAAAAAAGTGTAATACCATATTATATTTATATATTTTAATATTTAGGTTATCTATTTTAGGTATATTATTAGTATAGCAATATATATATATTTAATTTATTTTATTATATCGGCATTTGGATTCGATTAATATTTTTTAAAAAAATCACTTTTCTTTTTATGTGGATGTATACATATATATAATGTAATATATATTTTATAAATGTGTAATATAATCCGAATTCATGATTTGTAATACATTTTTATATCGATCTTTAGGGGGGGGGGGGATTTTTATCTCTTAATCTTAAAATTTGGTTTTTGTATAATAGGAAAATTTTATAGACGAACCATTACAATTAGGTCTTGCCATATCCGCATTCCCACGTCAGCAAACAAGGAATATCTATAATATTCCAAAGCGACTAACTCACTATTTTATCAAGAAAAATATTACCTAAACCTCAAGATTTAGATAATAGATGTTGGACCATTTGTGTCACCTTGAGGAAAATCTTAAGGATTTGCATAATATTTGTGTCGCCTATGAGGAAAATCTTAAGGATTAGCATAATATTTGTGTCGCCTATGAGGAAAATCTTAAGGATTTGCATAATATTTGTGTCGCCTATGAGGAAAATCTTAAGGATTTGCATAATATTTGTGTCGCCTATGAGGAAAATCTTAAGGATTTGCATAATATTTGTGTCGCCTATGAGGAAAATCTTAAGGATTTGCATAATATTTTTTTCTGATAAAATATTGAGTTAGTCGTTTAACAACCACTAACTAATTCTACATATAAAAACCCAGAAAAGTCAGTTATCTTTATCGCCTAATTTCATTTAATTTTCTACGATTCGTATTTTTCTTTATTAAAGTTATTTTTATTAGACGAGAGAAAGTACCAAAAAAATTTTAATCAAAATTTTAAAATTTGAGATTTTTTTAAAATCTAAACATAAATAAATCGCAAATAAATTAAATGGATTACAATAATTTTGTAAAAATAAAATAGTAAAAAAAAAAATTGTGATATATCAAAATAAAACCTACAAAAAAGTGTCATTTTTTTGAAGGTTTGGGCTAAAGTTTGATACCAAAATATTCTAGATCATAAGGCTAGAGGATAGCTAGTCAAAGATGGAACCTTCCTATGTATCTTCGGTTCAAAATTTTTGAGTTTAGAAGTTGATAATAACTTATTTATTCCCCCCCCCCCCCCATGTATATAAAAATAATTAATTTTTGCCTAAGTTATAGTAGCTCTGTCCAAAATTGATCAATAAGGTTTGCCTATATTTAATAATAAAACTTTAATGTTGATTTTCTCATTTTAACCATTTGCGCGAGTGGGGCACCCCAATGCTAGGCCCGACAATATATCTTTTAACGCAAATTCTGGATATTTAGAGAATTTTGTGCATTAGAAAATTTGTGGTCTGCTTGTTACTAGTGTTTATATTAGCTTCGAATAATTTTCAGATTTTATTTAAGTAAAATAATAATAAAAACCAGGGCTGGGGAAACCTAGAGAAAGGGGGTGGGTTCGGGTTTTGTTAGGGTTTAGCGAAAAACCCCCTAAACTAGGTATAGAGTTTAGAGTCTAGAAAAATATTAAGATATCAGAAATATCAGTTTTTTTTAAAAAGGTTCTGAATTCTGGTTTAGTAAAATCTCAAGGGTTTGGGTTCACTTAATTTCTAATATGATTATGTTTATCTCACGAAATTCCTAAACGGTATTATTTTAGGTTTTTTTTATACTTCTTACTTTAATCTATCATGTCAGAAAAATTATGGTACCAATTAATTGTGACGCTGGTGCCAATTAATTTTGACGCTTTAGGAAGAAAAAAATTAATAATGTAATTTTTTTTTAAAAAAAAATTTGACTAAAATCAAATAAAATGATTATTTCAAATTTTATAATAAAATTACCAGTTTACCACTAACCTCGCCAAAAAATAATGTCATCACGTGATTACGATTCTGACGCTCACAAGAGGAGCAATACCCACGACTATTATCAAACCTCCAGAGATGATCAAGATGGCGGCCATGTTGGCGATAGGGACAAAAGTAAGGCCTATAACGTCTCCAAGAACGTAACCTCTCAAGTCCTCAAGGCCCAGAAAGTAGCGGAAGATTATTACGGGGACGCTAAGAAGCAAGCGGTACTTAATTTAAAAAAAAAATTTATATCCTTTATGATCATTATTTATGAATATATATATATGTTCCGGCACTGTAACTTTAAATCATTTTTTGAAGCGCATTTACAAAATATAATTTTTCCGAAAATATAGCAAGTTTAGAACCTATATCAATGACATATATATAACCTAGACTGACGATTCATCCATTAAAAGTATAAATCAAATCAGCTGGAGACGCCATCTTGGTTACATTAATCATTTTAAATTATAAACGAGAGCCTAATTTATTCCTTATTATCTGATGCAAACTTTATTAAAGAATTACCGGATTTATCGAGATAATAAGGAATACAATTTATCAATTTAAATAGTAGTTTTTTTAACATGAGAATAATTATTATATGTGTTTACCAAAATGGTGGGTCCAGCTGATTTGCTTTTTAACAAAAAATGCATTTTAATGAATGAATCGTCAATCTAGATATATGGAAAAAACTAATATAAATTATATAGTATTGAGTTCAAAAAGAATTGTCTAATATTCATATGATAGGTATTCCAAATATTAATACATTTCCGGTAAATTCAAATTCTTAAATTTTTTTAAAAAAAGCGCTTAAAAAAATGATTGAAAGTTGAAAAAAAAAACACATCACCGTTAACATATATATATTTTATATTTTAAAAATGTTTATTTTGAGTGTACACATCCATCCCTCCAATTGTGTCATACATAATCAAAAAAAATTTTTTTTTTATTAATTTGAAAAATAAAATAGAAAGAAAATTTAAAAAAAAAATAAGAATTAGAAAAGAAAGATGGAATAAAAATAATATAATTTTATATTTAGAACGAAGCTATCGACCATCTTAAGCAAAACGAAACCGTTTCCTTGGTCCAGCGCAAATTGAAAGAAGGCAATAACCGAATTTTTAATGTTATGGATCATTATAGTGATTACGGTTACAGAACCATAAGGAAAAGTGTGCCATTCCTCAATCTCCCGCCAGATCAACCGATGGCTTTTTCCATGGCATTGGCTGGATTGGCGTTAGCGATCATTTTAATACCGCTCATATGCAGCTTGGTGTATTGGAAGTAATTAATTTTACCTTGTTTTATCGTTACGAATCGAAATCTATCATTTTAACTTAATAATTTAATTCATTGAACATATAAATTTACAATGTTTGTTATTATACATGATAGCCACCACAGAACGTTACACCATTACGCCTATACCCTTAACGACATAGACCTGGATGCCCTGAAAAAATATTGGGGAGACTCCCACTATTTGGACACTGCCTCGCACAACATGGAACATCTTACCTCTAACGTTAAGAACTTGCCCAAGCATAGCAAGCTAGTTCGCGAGTTGGGGTTATTATACCGCAAGTGGCATGGGTATTTTACATATAATTTTGACTATTATTTTTTTTAAAAAATCATTACTTCATTTTCCTTATTACTCTAGGTACAACAAAAAATCTAAAATCTATCAAACCCTTGACAAAGTTTCAGACCCGGTATATTCTGGTATGCACAGGATTAGCTCTGGCCTGGCTGATAGACTCGCCTTAGCCCCGCCTAAGCACAAACCCATATTTTTCCCGTACCTTTTGGCCCTGATCGCGGGGTTGGGAGGCCTGTTTGCTCTTCTTAAATACGGAAAGTAAATATAGTTTTGCCAAATTTTTATAATGTTTGGTATTTTTTTGGAGAAGGGAGAAAGAAAGATGAGTAAATTTTGAAAATTTTCGCTATTCAAATAAATATTTATTTTACACGTGTAATTCTGATTTATCGATTTTAAATACAAATTTATATATTTCATGCCTTTACATTACACATTTTGTTTATTATATGGTAGTTGTTTATTGAGCATCATTCTCAAAAAGTCAATAGTAATTCCACCGGACACTGTTCAAATTTATGGGTTGCCCGCCGGCAGAAACATCCCGTCTCTCTCACCCTACGTTCTCAAGCTCGAAACGTATTTAAGAATGGCTAAGATTCCTTACAAGGCAATCATATTTGTTTTCAAACAATATATGACCTAGCCAAGCCTTTCACCTAAAAAATGACACTTCTAAGCTAATTTCTAACAAAATTAATTGAGATGATTATTTTTAGGATAAAGGCTTGGCTAAGTTATTATGGAATTAGCCAAAGTTTTTTAATTTACACTTTAGTCTCTATTTTTTATGTTTTTTATCTCAAGTTTTAAATTGTTACATATTTTTTATTAGATCGATTTCAGCGGAATCCCCTCCACTGAAGGCAAAAATCCCTGGATAACTTACAACGGAGTTGACATCCCTGACTCCCAGGGATCCATTGAGTATTTGAAGAAAAAGTGCGGGGCAGAGGATTTAGACCGCGATCTAAGTCCCAAAGAAAAGACCGTCTCTAACGCTCTCAGGGTATTCACCGAGGAGGAATTGAAATGGTAAGAAAAAATGGGGGAAGAAATATAAAGAGGATAGACGGGGTTGGGTAGTAGCGCAAAATACTTTTAGTGAAGATACTAAAGACAGTTACTTTTTTTTGCCTTTGTATCTAGTATTTTTATTCAAATATTTTAGGTAGCTATATTTTAAATACTAAGACTGTGACCTGGTTCTACTATAATATGGATACTTAATAATTTTTTAGTGTAGAGTAAAAAGCTAGGACTCGAATAAAAAGACGATTATATTTTTTTTAAAAGGCCAATGATTATGTACAGAATGGTTTACAGTTCTCTCAATCAGTTGATGGATCAAATGTATGTGCCCGCCTGGATGCGTCACATTTGGTAAAAATAAAAATTTCTTTTTATAGAAAATTTATATGTATCTTGACCTTTGATTCTTATATTATCCACCTAATCTTTAATGGGGGAAATTGATTCCTCCTCCCTTGTCATATAATACCCCCAAAAGGTATACAAGTTTTTTTTATAATATCATTCTTTTACAACCCGCAAATTTTTTTTTCATGTACAGAAAATTAAAATGTTTCACGTTATAATTTAAAATTTCAATATTATAAAATGATAACATAAATCTTTTTTAGATTAAATAATATCATGTTTTTTAAAAGCAATAATTTATCAAATAATCCATTGAGAATTGACCCCGTTTACAGTTGAATTTTTTTTTTACAAACTCATTATATAGGCATCGATGGTCAGATCATGAAATTATTTATTTTTAAAATTTACATTTTAATAAAAGGATACCTCTTAGAGTAATCTTATTCATCAAGCCTAAATACAAGAGCAGAGCTAAAGAAGCCGGTTTACTTAATAAAGGAAGTAGATACGTTTACAGCAAGGGGGTTAAAGATATTCAATCCCTTTCCGACTATTTAGGTCAATAAAATTGCTTATGAATAAATGTTTTATTATTATTCCTTAATTACATTTCAATCTTATATTCATTATTTTTCTTCATCGATATAGGTAACAAGCAATACATGATGGGAGAAAAGCCTACTGAAGTTGATTGCACCATATTTGGGATGTTGGCCGAATACTTATGGACATTCCCTGAAGATAACATTCTTAGGACTAAATTTAACAGTTTATATTTTTGGCAAATTATTACATTTTTTATTAGTTATTTTATAAAGAACGAAAATGATATTATACTAACTAATATAATATATATATATGAATCCGGTTATTTAATTTTAATCCTTCATCCCTACCATTTTTAAAGCTGATTGGTCTAATCTTGGAGCATATTGCAACAGGATCAAGGATAAATTTTGGCCAGATTGGAATGACAGGATCAGAACTGGCAAGCACGTAACTTCATCGAGATAAATAAAGATATGAACGTACATCTTGAACTTCTTAAAAATATTACTAAAGATTTTAAAAAACATTTATTTTAAAAAAATATTTCATTTGTTTGATAGTTTTTTTATTATTTCTTTCTACACCCTTTGTCTATCATTTTCACGAAATTATATATATTTACTAGTCAGAGTATAGATTTAATAACTGCAATTATTAATATTATTTATAATAGAATTTAATAGTCAATTATTTTAAACTTACTTATATTTATCACTTTGATTTTAGTCTATAAAAGATAATTCACTCTTACTTTATTTGGATAATTAGATGCTTTATAGTTAAATATACTTTTTTGCACATAACACGTAATTTGATCACTATATTATTATATATTTTATCGATATCTAATCAAGAAATTATTGAAATTAATATTTATACCACCATGACATGTATCGTCGTAAGAATTCTAAATATAAATTTATAATATATATATATTATGTCGTTTAGTTTTAAATATTTACAATCAATGCACTTTTAGAAAGATTATCAAAATTTATACCTCCTAACTTTTTTTTTGGTGTTATCTATATATGCACATTTTTTTTTTTGATTTGTGTATATTTATTTTAAAATAAAAATTATATATCATTCATTCAAAAGTATCCAACCAGATCTGACGAATTTAAAAACTATAAATAAGAGCATTTATTTCTCGAATTTGAGGTTAAAAGGCTATGCAGAATCCTTTTTAAGCTTTTGGAAGAAAATTGAACTATATTTTGGACCACACTCCACTAATTTGAAAAAATAAATTTGATATAAATCTCTAATCATAAGCGTGTTCAGGTTTTTCCTATGGGGGAGAGACCATTTTGAGCAGTTGCCTCATAAATTTTTGTTGGTGGATATGAAATTTTTAGCTTATTAAAATTGTATGGGAATGGGCATACGTTTTAATGGAATCACTATTTCCAGGGATCTCGAACCAAAAAGGGTATTTTTTTTTTCGTTTTGTTCAGTTCTGGCCAAAAACAATATTCCTAACCTTCCATCCAGAAGGCGTTACTGAAAATAGCTAACTTTATTGATGTTGTAATCATAGAAATATATACAGATATTTTATATTAAAAAATTAGAAATGTCATATTTTATCAGAGTGAAGAAAAAGATGTATGATTATCATTTTTTCTTTGTATAAAACGTATAGAAAACATCTAATGAATAAAATTGGAAAATTAAAATTTGGTGATTATTGTTATTAGTTATTTTAATTGATATAAAAAATTTGTTTATTGATCAATTATTACACGATATCGTTCATAGACATTCTCTAAATATTATCATTTAGATATATGTGGTGGTGTTGATATGAATTCAGTATTGGGAAAGTGTTTTCAGCACTAACAAATTATCGATAGAAAAATTATACATTAATTTAATAACGATTTATAAAAATGTTTTTAACCGCTAAATTATAGATAATACACTTAACCCATTTTTGTCCGGTGTTCTAATATCAAAACATCATGTTTTGGAATATTTTATATTTTTGTTTAATTTTTTTCTCCTTATTGAGACTAATTTTCTTAGACATATTTATTAAGCTGTTTTACATTTTATTTATATTTCCATTTTCAATAAAATTTCATGATTTGGTTTAGAAATAGAACAAAAAAGGTTTACTGCTGTGTTTTTCAGAAAATGTTTTGTTGCTTAAATTGAAGTGGAATTTTCTAGAAAAATGATGAAAATATAAACTATTTATATGTTTTTTAATATTTTTATATTTTCGGACAAATATATATCAAATAAATTGTATTTTAAAATTTCTGTCAATATCAGATTAGATTATTTATGCATAATATATTAATTTAACCACTATTAGAGTATCAAATTTACTTTAGGCCATCTAGTGATGAGAATCAAAGAAAGTAAGATAGTAGAATAGATAATCTTGGTGACATGCACTACAGTTATAATCTCAGGAAACTGGAGCTTACATCTCATGGTGACAAAGTTTATATTGATGAAATCGATAAAATAATTTAAAACTAAAAGTTATAACAATTATAAACTGGAGTATAAATTATTTCTTCTTTAGAAACAATTGTAAATTTGATCCAGAATATTTTGAAATTTTTTTGATCATAGCAGTTATAAAAAGATGAGGTGTCAAAATTTTCAATTTATATTTTACTATTATAGAAGAAAATAATATAAAATGAAGACAATGGTGTATAAAGGATTCGGCCAGTGGAACAGTCTTACTCTGTTATACAGCTGTTTTAAAAAACAACAATTGTATTAAATGGCAACACTGAATTTATAGACTATGAAATAATTTATACCTTAGAAACGTTAACATATCCTTACAAAATATTTTAGCAAAATTTTGTTATAATATATTTCTATAAAGTTTAAAATTACGGAATTTCAAATAGGTGTACGCTATTAGGTGAGAATTTTTAATGTCACTTAGAAGTAAATATCGTAAGTGTTGAATTAGCATGAAAATCTAATTTGATTTTACTTGTATTTTCGACAAATATACTTAGTTGGTTCATTCATTCTATATTTCTTTCTCTATCTTATCTTTACTTCTATATAATTATCACTGTTTTAATGAATTCCAAAATTCTAATGTTAGCAGAAGCTTTCATTATAATTGTATAGCAGTGGTTTTGAACCAACCTTAGGATCAAAATGTTTTCAAAAAGTCTTATATAGTATCCTTATATTTATACCCTTTTAAAAATTTAATATGTAAAGCCATGCTATATAAAATTTAATCATATTTATAAGCTATGAGCCTTTCTAGAATAGTTTGACCAGGCCAAAGCAAAACTCTAATAAATATGATAAATATTAATATTATAAAAAATATTGAACTCATATTTTTTATTATATAATAACAAATTGTATACCTTTTTTTTTTAAAATATATAGTAATTTAACCATTTATATTTTTCATCTAAAGAAATTATTTTTTTTAATTAAAAAAAATATTTATTATAAGAAATATACATTCAAGCCTAAATAATGGAAAGATATATGGCATAGCTATAAATCTCCATTTGATTATATGGCCAAGCTATGAAGAAATGGAGTGGAAAATGATGTATCATGGACTAAACAGTTGGCGTATTCAAATAAACATATGAAAATGCAATAAACAATTTCTTCTACATTTAGAATTCAATTCTGCTTGCATTCATATAATTAAATTATTTATTGTTATAGTTATAGTTACTCATATCATTATTATTCTTAATAATAGGTTTACAATTTGAATTTTAAAAAATTTGAGCTTTTCACCCCAATGTTCCATGGCATGCCCATAAAATCAAGAGAGGTATAGCTATTACACATATCTTTCCATTATCAGGCTTGAATGATACATTCCTCAAAATATAAATTTTTTTAAATTAAAAAATTAATTTATTTAGATGAGAAATTTAAATCGTTCATAATATCTATTTTTTTTAAAAAAAAGGTAAATAATCTGTTATTATATAATAAAAAGTAAGATTTCATTATTTTTTATAACATTAATATTTATCATATATATTAGAGGTCTGCAAAATCCAGCCCAGCCTGCTTCGACTTGATAAGAATTTTTAAACCAACTCGACCTGTTAATAGTTTCACCAGTCACTGTAAGTTATATATTTTTAAAAAATTTACTCTATCCGATTGATATATAATTCTTTATAAAAATTAATTTAGTTCAAAAACATCAAATTTTTTGCTAAATACCGTAAGTATATTTTTAAAGTTAAAAATATCACATTTTAGCTATAAATATATTCTTATTTCCACACATTTTCAAGACAGTGGCCGAATTAATTTGTATTAAAACCTTATATTTAAATGTAAGTTTTGTACATAGATATTTATCTGATTACATAAAGAAAGAAACTTAAAAATATAATAGTTGAACATTATGTTTTTTTTAAACTATATGTAAACCTGGATTTGATTATTCTTGCTAACTAAATTTATATATCATTAAATCACAATAAATCTTTTTAAAGTAATTAAATTGCTAAAACAAAGATTATCAATATTTATTTAAAAACGACGAGCTCTTATCTAAAAATTAAACATCTTTTTATTTGTAAATATTTATATTACTACTTCTTCAACTCTCATAATATACAAAAATGTAAAATGTTTGCACTTTTAAGAAATAATGTGTTTTTGATTTTTAAGTAAAAAAAATTTATAAAATAAATTTCAATTATAATAATAATAGATTAAAAATCTTCCAATTATAATATAAAACTAGCTGATAAGCCGTCAAGAATAGCGGGGATGATGGGTAATTAGCTACTTTGTTTATATGGTACTAAATAGAGGTGGGCATTGGGCGGGATTTTCTCCCGCCCACGTTCGCTCATACTTTGAATAGTCATGGAGGGATTTTTTAAAATAATTTCAACATCAGGTGGGTGGCGGTCGGGTTGTAAAATCTTTTAAGGTAATGGACGGGCATGGGCTTCTTAATTTTCAGGTGAAATGAGCAGTAACGCTTCAATTTATTAAAAATGATAGTTTTATTTCACAATATTGCGTATTATATATTTTTAAATAAAAATACATTTAAAATAAGTAAATAAAGAGCCAAACCAGCCATTAAAATAATTTTTTGACATTAAGCGGACGGAGTGAACGGGTGGGTGCGTTTAATAAATTTCAAAACAACGAGTGGACTGGGCTCTTTGGCTAAATACCCTCCCATTTAATGTACTTCTTTAATATATTTTTATAAAATAATTAAAATTTCAGAAAATGAAGTAAATTTGTGGATAACACCTCATAAGATATGCTTAAATTCTGATTTATCTAACATCAAATAAGGGAGAAAAATATGATGAACCGTCTTTCTTGATGGGCAAAATGAGAAACTAAAATAACTAAGAGAAATATCATAGCTTTCGTTGGTCAGCATTGCGGTTCGCTATCAGAGTGAAAGTGGCAGATGGGTTTTAGGGAAGAAAAGAGATGAAAAAAAGAAAGTAGAAATATAGTAGAAAGTATAATAAACGTTTATACCCTGATGGTTATCAACTTTTAATACAATCATATTTGAAGTGACATAAAAAAGGAAAATAATATAAAATTTATATATTTGAATGTTTTATAAGGGATAACTCAGTTTTTTTTAACTTCACATAAGGTTTTAAAAATAAAATCATGTGTATTAACCTGGCATATCAGCACATCTAAATGTGTCATGATATTTATTTCACAATAAGAATTGTCAGGGTGCTGAAGACTTCCTGCAATGGCCTGAGATGTATTACATACAACTGAGAAAATTTAGATAGAATATTAGTATGGGGATATAAATAAGATGGGCATTGATAAATCCCCATGAACTTTAAAAAAAGGGGGCTAATTACCTGATAACTTTTAAATCTGTGCTACTATAGATTCAAAGGCAATAGGGCTATTGTAAGAACGAATATGATATATAAAATTTTTGTACATGGGATCTAAAGGTAGATAATATATTTTTTAAATAATCAGGATATTGTCATTGAGTAAGCCTG